GTAACCAATAATCAAATCTTCAAACTGTCAAAGCAACGCTTAAAGGTAGCGCAGATATCCGATGATACAGCAATGTATGCATCTGGCCATTCACTAGAACAGACTAAAGCCCAACTTCAATTATACCTTAAAGTTCTAAACAGCTGGGCCTCCAAAGTAAAAATCAAATTAAATCCAAACAAAGCTACTATAAAAATAATCACCCTGAGACCATATAACCCTCCCACTCCACTTCCATTAAATCAGGACATAGTTAACTGGCACCAGCATAGCAAATCCATCAAATATTTAGAATTATTAATGGGCACACAATTAAATTAGAAACAGCATATAAGTAATAAAATATTATAGACTTCAACAAAACTCCACCACGGCCAATCAAAAACAGGCCAGCCACACTTCTATATAACACACCCCTAACTAATTAAAACCATAATTAGACCGCTCTTGTTATATGCTTATCCAGTTTTGATAAATGTCGCAAGATCGAACACAAAAAGACTAGATCGTTCAAAATCAATTTCTTCGTACAATTACAAATCCACCAAAACTACAATCACATTTCCAACCAACAGCTGCGCAATTAATTCCAACTCGAAACTATAGAAAAGCACATCACGTATCTCTCCACACAGTTTTACCATATCTTACCTCAAATCCCCAGAATACGTCTCCTCCGGTTATGCGTAAATCCCACTCACGATTCTCGTATTAGAAATAAATTTCCCTTCTATACCTTCCTTACAATGTTTTTCGAAATGTAACTCCCCATTAAGGATTCCTCTCCAAAAATGTAAGTTTTAGAATTAAGTTTATACGATTAAGACAGTACAAATGTAGAGTGTGGATTGAACTTTGTAAAATCTGAAAATGATTACCATAAAAATGTATTTTTATTCAGCGAAAACATACAGCGTCCCTTACTAAAGGTAGGAAGAAGGAAAAGTGCGTCTTCAGTGAGAGATGCGCTAATCACTGAGAACGACGCTGCATATGCATAACGAACCCACACTGAGCTAAGTAAGACGATATTATGCGCCTATCATACCTGCGTATGTGATTTGTATTTTTTTCTTTCTTTTTTTCGTAGATTGAACGTGTCCATCTCTCACGACAATACAACGATCCGTAGCCACATTCCTCGAAACCGTCAACAAATATTTTTTCGAATGTCTACACCCTCAAGAAACGACGCTGTGTGCAATCTTAAACTTTAGATTTAGATTTATTTTGTCAAAAAACTTTAAAAACTGTATGTGACATATGGGGAAGAAGATCTGCTCACGTTTTCTTGAGGTCCAGCATCACTTCTTATCATTTTAACTATAACATTTCAACTATAAATAGTTGAAAGATGAGTAAACGTTTTTGTAAGAAAACAAACAAAATAATTAAAAATAAAATTTAAAAAACGCGAAATTAGATACATTTGAAAAACTAGACATTTTCGTTCCCGAGTTATAGAAAACTTATTTGCACCGGCGAACAGCAGATTTCGATATTCTGCATTGTTAACAAAACAGTAACTCACCCCCAGCTCTACTCCTACCACTGCCACAACTACAAGCAAAAGGAGAGTTCAACAAACCGTGCGCAAGGTGAAGCTACAATCATATCCTGAAACAAAACAATGGTTCATCTCAGCATTTTCTCAATGTATCAGGGAAACTGGACAAAAACCTGACCGACATGGGGATCATTGACCCGGATGCTGAAGTATATTATTTGTTACAAGAATTTTAAGTCTTTTTTTAAATATACAATACAAATGTAAACTAATTCATTATATATAATTGTTTTGTTAAAACAAACATTACTTTTCTTTTTGATAATCAGTAGTCTCTAGTTGTATAGAAACATTTATACATCATACATAAAATATTTTACTTTTAACTTAAATTTGTGTACCGACTTTAATTGTTTAATATCATTTGGCAATGCGTTGTAAAGTAACGTACATATATTGTAAATGGATTCCTGATAGTGAACTGTTGATACTGACACATGATGAACGTGTTTTCTTCGACGTGTAATGTAATTATAAATATCAATATATCATGGAAATATGTTCCCATCGTTAAGTAAGTCAGTTTTGACGTATATCACAGATTCGTAAATAAATAGGCAAAGCAATGGTAAGATTCCAGGTTCAATGAAAAAAGGCTTGCAGTGATCACGTGGATGGCATTTTTTCATTATTCGAATAATTTTCTTTTGCAATCTAAAGGTCTTTTGGACCATACTTGTCACAATTTGACATTCTTTAAGACTTCCAATGATTCTACTTTGAGCAAAGCCATCTATTTGTCTCAGAGACATTCTGATGGTAATATCGTTCTATTCAAATTAATCAAATTCTGGTTAGAATAAGTTTTTCTATTATCCCATTTTATTTTAGGCAGATTTTTCACTTTTTGTGTAAAAGGATAAAATATGCAATAAAACCACATCACAAATTGAATGTGTTAACCCACAAAACTAATTCTAATGAAAAGATAAACATACCTTTAATTTAAAATTAATATATTCAAATTCTTCATCGAAAATCTGCAGCGAGCATTACACTCATCTCCAATACTGCTTCTGCATGCACTTGGATATGTTTGTGTGTGTGTACTAGACGCGCACACTATGTCATACGATGCGCTAATACATTTGAATCTATCCAATGTTCTTACAAGTATTTCCTTTCCTTTTAGCTGATATTTATGAAATTGTTTTATTTTCTTTATTTCCTCCTTGTGTTGCTGTACACTTATGTAGATATTTGCAAATATTTAGGCTTTAATTCTACAACCCGTGTTTTCCATCAGTTAACGATTTATACATACCTGAGAGTCCCTGTGTACATTATTTGTAATCACGTACTGCAACATTTTCTACATTACACACCTGGATTCAAAAGACTTCTTGTTTTAAGAAGCCCCAGAGAAAAAATCCAAGGGTATTAAATCAGGAAAACTGGCAGGCCAATTTACGGGCCACTGATTCTGTTAATACAAAATTACTCAATATTTTAACCAGTTTTACGAGCAAGGATCTTTCAGTAAATCTTGATAAGCAAACATAGCATCTTGCACTGAGTGTTGCACTTGTGTTGAGTGTGGCATGGAGCGTGTGGTTCAGAGGGCGAGTATGTGTGTGTGTGTGTGTGTGTGTGTGTGCGCGCGCGCGCGTGTGCGTGCGCGCGCTCGCGCGTGTGCGTGCGCGCGCGTGTGTGTGTTGCTGTGTGCTCGACATATTATGTCTTTCATTTAATGATTTTTGTTTCAAATTTTCCGGCGGGCTTTATGTTAGCCCTCTTCGGAGCAATGATAGCTGCTTTCGAAAATAAAAGCAAAGACACTGACATATGACGCAAGCGGATTTACAACTTAAATCTTCGTATCTCTTCCTAATCTGTCACCGTCAATCCTTACCAAGCCAATAATCACAATGTAAATTACCTATAGTTTCATTTCGATTCGATTTTCCTTCATAAAGTATAAAAATCGTGTTGCCTAAATGCATTGTTGGACATGTTCTAAATAAGTGAATCATTATTTAGCATAATTAAACCATTTGTTTAATTTCGTTGCGTGTTGTTTGTAAAATATGTTCACAAGCACACTTATTTTTCCTTGCTATGCAGTATAATGTTAGTAGTTATTTCCAACTCACGAATACAAAAATTTTAAAGTAACGGTTTTAAAGCCTAATTTTGATAGTATATTTGAGTGCATTTTTACTAGCTTATTTTGGGCTTTATTAGCCCCCAGCATCCGATTATTAGAACTATATATGTAAAGCCACTGCAACAGCTGAACCAGCAACAGCAAGAGTGCTGCCGAACAAAACTACACAAAATGGTTTACCGAAACGTAACACGCACACTGCTGAAGAAGAACAAATACAATAGAACTCTCGCATAACACTACAATAAATTAAATACTTTAACAATAACACTCTTTACGAATACTGCGCGCAATAACGTAGAGTAGTATATATGAACACAGTACAACAGTTATTTGAGCATATTGAGCAAGATTTACTGTATTATAGAGATATGTAAGATATGTTAGAGAATTCTCATATTCAAATGACGTGTTTTCAAACAATACATCATATATTACTTCGAAAATATTCAAGTAAATATTGGCCTCTATCTATGAAGTAGCTAAGCCCGCAATTTCATTATTTTTCAGAAAACAACTTTCGTCTATATAAAAGTGAAATAATTTTGTAAAAACAATGGCGGTGATTATATTTTGGGATTGGATCAATCGATATCAATCTCGATTAGTTTTTCTGTGACACAACCCGCCAATGAAGAAGTATTCCTTCCCGCTGTTATTTCAAATGATACGTGTTGCCTACATGTGGTTTTAATCACTTAATCATGAGTTCCATCACTACATATTGCTTTGTTAAAATGTAAAAAGATAATTTCAATGTTGGATACAATTATTTGAAATACATGAAACTTCGGGAAAATTCATACACCGATTGAGACGAAATTGCGTACCTCCGAATGTCACGAAATCTTGCCCATTCATTGGAAATGAAATTACAAATTAAATAGAAAACATTTCAACTCTGGATTCAGAATTCTGTTCTCAGAAAATAGCCCCTACATTTTAACTTTGTTGCATTGAAATTGAGCATTCGTGTTGGGAAAAATAAATTAGTACATATAAGCGGTTAACTCGTTTCATCACGTGGTATGTAACAATAAGTATGAAAAATATAAACAATTATAATCTACCAGCGTTTCAAATCTATAATAGAAATTTAATTCCCGTCGCAACTAAAGATTGGCAAAAGACCAATAATAGTGATGAGCGCTAGTCGCGTATTTAAAAGATAATGCTTCTGAACGCAAAATGAATTTATGGTTTACGTTTTCTCAGTCTATAAAACGTACGTAGTCCCAACCGTAACACAATGGAATATTGCTTGTAATTCTTTCGCGTGCACTTGAGATGAGACGTGTGGATGTTTGTACACTGTAGCACGTGTCACATCTCAGCTGTTGACAATTACCCAATGTTGCGTCACCGATGTGTTGGTATATTTACAGTTGAGTGCAACAGGTAAATTAATTTATGGGACTTCTGCGGAAAATAGGGTATATACTGCAATATTGGATACCAGACGCGAGAGTCGTGCTGCTGTGGTAACACCGGTAAACCCGTACCACGCGACCGTGCCAAGGCAGTGTCGGAGGAGTGACGACGCTGTGCGCGTGGAGGAGGTATACGAGTATAGGACGTGGACGCCGAGTGCCAACGTTACCAACTTGGGAAGGTGAATTCAAGTTTGTGCGACTTCCCTTTCGATTATTTGATTCAGTGTTGTGCAGTTTTGTTCTAGAGTAGTAGTTCACCGCTCCTGTTATCGCCAAACGACTATAATTGTTACAATGTCAATTTCAACTTTATAACCTTAATTGCTGGAGTTAACCTCAATATAGTAGTGCTTTACTAGCAAATTCTGGTGGAAATTGTCGATATTTGAACAGAATGATGCCTTCATTTACTTTAATTGTGGGTATGACACTTGTTTAATATGTCAAATTGTTTGTCTGTGTGACTAAAACGATTTTGACATGTGTGTTAATTAGTGTTTATCTTACCAATACATTTAGAAGTTTTCCAGAAAAAAAGAAAAAATGTAAAAATGTGACATGTTTAAATATTCTATGTTAAGTGTGAATCAAAATTTGATGTTAATTTTGAAGTACTTCTTGGCTAATACTTTCTAAATTTTGAAAACTTTTTTAATTGTGGTATTTTTCTTCAGGAGGGGGTGAAGGAGCAAAACTTTATTAAGAAACACATGTCTTTTTACTGAATATCACAATGTCAGTACAAGGATTATACCTCAACCAGTCAAATGCATCTGTATTCAGTAAGTCAATTTTTTATTTATCTTCTACTTTTCAGTAAAAACTTTTATAATATTACAAAAGTATATACTTTACAAATTATATACAGGTTAATTTAGAAAGTGAACATATATGAAAATTGGAGCTCACAAGCCAATTTGTGAATTAATGTAGCATTTATAGTATTAGAAATTTAATGGGTGTTTCAATTTTTATTCCATTTAAAATATTGCTCTAGGCCAGAATAACAATTTAGTTACATATTTTTTTTGTTTTGATTTTTTCCTAATTTTATTTTGTACTGAGTATTTTGTATTTGAATAATTCTCTTTTTTAAATTTTGATTAATATGAATGTTGTTTGCTAACATAAACAATTATTGGAATTAAGACTATAATCATTATTATGATGTATAAATGTATTACACCTGAAGCACATTGGCTGCTAAGCAGCTTTCGTGTAATAGTCTACAATATTTATAAAATTTATATTAATTTTTCAGTATCATTTCATCCCTTTATCTGTCATTGTTAAACTAAAATTCTTTATTGTAACATGTTATCTTCAATTTTAATCAATAATACAAGAATTCGTGCATATGGTTGGTGTGTGCAGTATACAAAAGTTATTTATAACTTTTGTATTCTAGTCTCCAGCTCTTGTACCTAAAATATCAGACCATACATTTCATGAAATTGAATGAATTTCATTAGTGCAGTTGAGGAAAAGCAATGTTGGCATAATGCCTTTCTTGTCTGTTACTGATAAGTTTCACTATAAAGACCGGTCTTATAGTTTGGATTCAGTTCAGGGATGAAAGCCAAATTGGTAGCAGGATCCTCAAAATAACTTATTCTGTATTCAGTCTACCTGCCTTTTCAACCTGATTCAACTTTAGTAGCTACCCATCTCCCTTGAAGAAAAGACAGAGTTGGTCCAGGTGATGCTAGTTTTAGAATTTTTCAGAAATGACTAATTACTATTTAAATATGAATATTATTGAAATATCCACTTTTCTGATGTATTTTTGTTTTTGCTTTATTAAATCATTCTATGAGTGAGATATGTAAGAAAATTTTCCATACAGAATCTAAATTATTTTTACAGTTAACAATTCTGTAATTGTGTATTATCATGAAAAAGAAAAATGCTGTTTGGTATCGAACGTGTATTTTTTCAAAAATTGTATTAATTTTTGCTTTATGCCGGTGTTCCAACATAAATGAGAATTTCAAAGTAATGGAATATACATGAATTTATTTACTACATCATGGATAAACTGATAAAGATATGAACTATATCCTTCAGGATTGCCTAATGTTCTTGAAGAGTTTTAGGGAAGTAGCTAACACACATTACTTAACCCACAATACAAAAATTAATTTTCCTGTTTTATATTTTATATATAATAATTTTCAAAATAATACATTGTATTTCAGTGTTTCAGAAATTTTCTGAGCTTACAATTTGTATTATTTGTTCAGTTAACTGGAACTGCAATTACTTAAAACTTCTTAATTCGTTCATAGTGGCAGTTCTTTCGGATTTGTCAAAATGCCTGGGAAGTCATCTGGTGGATCTGGTCGTCACCAGCATGTGAAACGCCGCAAAGGACGCAAAATGAAGGCTCATAAAGAAACTAGTGGAGAAGCTGATGGGAACGAAGTGTTCCCTGAAGCTGAAGGGGAAACCCATCAGCTTCTTGATGTTATGCAAGTGAAGTCTACAGGCCATGTTACTCGCCCTCCAAGTGATGTTACAGAAAATGTGTGGTCTATCTCAGTGCAAGTGTTTATACCTTTTTTGGTTGCTGGTTTTGGAATGGTTGGGGCTGGACTTGTTCTTGATACAGTGCAGGTATGTTTTCTTGAAGTTAGTTAAAAAAAAAAAAAGAAAAGAAAAACTCTTTCCCTAACCACGCTAGTGACAATTTTAGTGTTTTAAGATAGTATGTTGAATTTTCAGCCTTAGTCAAAAGTATTCTTAGACTTTATGTAAAGTATTGGTTATTGTTTGTTGACTGTTGTTTACTAGTAGTAAGGCCTACTACCCTAGATTTCTGAGAACAAATAGTTACTTATCTTAAGCTGTCTTCAGACCTTTACATGCTTTGTTTTGAATCCTATATCCTTGAAATAGTTTTTCAAAAATATGTTTCATTCTGTACTGTAATTTTCTTTTGCATATTGCTTCCAATTTTCGTCTGTATTTTCCGTTTAATTTTTTATATTTGCAGTTCTAACATTTTCCTCTGTATCCAAATAACCATTGTATTCTTGTAATGACGATTGCATTTATACTGTACCCAAGCCGAACATGTTGCTGAAACGTATGTCTTGTATAAACATTTTGGGCGCATTAATGTGTCTGAACGACTCTAATCCGAAGGCCCACGGACCGCACACGACTTTTCCTTTCTCATCACCCCTTTTAAACACATGCGAGCACTACTAGTACATTTCCACACATCTCGGGAGTACAGTCGGGAACTTTGAGCTTATGCTGGCTGGGAGTGGTGCCCCGCTGGTAGAGATACCTGGATGCAAATGCACTACACTTGCGGGTTTAATAACCATAGCCATTGACATGAAAACAATCAATCAGTTACGAACATTACACGATGTCGCACCACTTAACCAGAAAAATGTCTATCCTTCTGTATATTGCCATACTTGGCACGTCGTATTTTCGGTAAACATTTCTAGAGAAAACGAGTGCCCTAATTGTCGATGGATTTTTAATTCTCCTTTTCATATAATTTCTCTTCAGTTTTCCGCGATCGTCCCTCCATATTTTCTTCAGGTACATTTGTCAATGTAATAAATTCAATAAACGCTTTCGATCGATCAATCAATCAATCAATCGATCCACCGAACTCATGCGTAAACGTTGTCGAGACAATCGAATACTTAGAATTTGAATCATAATTCTAAGAAATTCGAAGCAATCTAAAAATACAGTATGTTAGTGTAAAAATAATTAGTATCTGTATTTTGAAGAACAATTTTCTCATATTAAGGTAATAACAACTCACAATTTTAGTGTGAAGAAAAACAAAAACAAAAAAAAAACTTGTTGGCTTTAAAGATAATTGTAGAGATCATTGCACACAAATTATGAGACCGAGCCTAGTTACTAGTAATTTAGAATAACAGCACTTATGACAAAAACTGGCCAGCACTGATTTCCAAAATAGTAACTACTTAGAATCCTTGATAGACTGAAAAATTATTAAATGAACTAAGGAATGACAAAATTACTTGCTATCATTACTATCAATGGATTCAAAAAGTGTGGATATTCAGAAGTTGAAGATTTTATATTTCATCAATAGAAATAAATAATATTATGAATCAAAATGAGCACACAGTGTTAACTTACCTTTCTGCAGTAATTTTATAAATAAAACTTGCATAAATATTTGTTTGTATTCTGAATTCGCACAAAATTTTACTCCATAATATCACTTTTTCTACAGTTTGAGCAAACCAGATTGTTGATAATGATGCAGTTATATGAATTCTTAAATTTGTTCAAAGAAGTGGTTGCCCCAACTGGGATTTAAAGCTGGCTGGGCATTCTGGTTTACGCCCAGCTTCTCGTAAACCAGAAGGCCTGGGTTTGAATCCTGATTGAGGCAACCAATTCTTTGAACAGATTAATTTATTATAATCATTTAATTATTATAATTAATTATTTATTAACTATTATAATGCATTGTTACTCAGTAATGTGGTTAAATTTTGGATTTCTTTACGACTGCAGAATATATTCTCCGACCGTAATTGCGTCCACCAAGTTCATGGGAATGGTGACACTTGCTTCCCCTTAATTTGCGACATTGTTTATTATTCAACAATGATTTTGATACTGTTGGCTACAAGTGCCCTCCTCCTTATTTCCCCCCCCCCTTTTTTTTTTCCTTTAAAATGTTTTGAAAAATACAAATGGTGAGTTTTACATGCTTATGTACCTGTTTGCCAGCATGTTTTATACAATAGTGGATACAATATTCTTGCATCATGTGTTGCCAATATTTTTATGGAAATGAGATATTCTTTTCCTCATTGTCTGTAAAAAGAAAATAGAAAGAAAAAAATTATAATCAAGATGATTTCAATAAAATTTGCATTTATATGTAATTCTAACTTTCACTTCTGCTTCGGAAAGATCTGTATTTGTATTAATTATACTCCCCCCCCTTTTTTTCCTGACCCATAGAGAGAACTATCATTTGCTTTTCTTTCACATTAGTTGAATTCCATTTATTCTTTTTGTTACTACCTTTGCCATGTTTAAAATATTGATGATAATTTTCATCATGAAATATTTTAACATCCCTGAAATTCAATTATAGCCATTTTAATATCCAAACATAACTAACTTTTTACCAGTGTGTAACAGTATGTATAATTTTTCTACTCTTCTGTAAATGTTTTTAATTTTTTGTAGCATTGGAAAGTTTTTAAAGTGGTATCAGAAGTATTTATTCTTGTTCCTGCGTTATTGGGATTAAAAGGCAATTTGGAAATGACTTTAGCCTCTCGCCTTTCAACACAAGCCAACTTGGGATACATGGATAGTCCAAAAGAGCAATGGAGCATTATTATAGGCAATCTGGCTCTAATTCAGGTACAAAATGGTGCAGTATCTGAATATGCGACCAATTACAGTAACTCCTTGTGTATTGCAACATATTATAAATTATAATCTTCTATCTTCATAACTTAGAGAACAAATTATTTTCTTTTCATCAAAGAAGTCAATCTTACAACAATTAGTTTTCCAGTTGCTGTGTTAAATGCATCCTCCTGTATTTGTTAGTTTATTTTTTAGTGGAATTAGTTCATCTATGAAATTTACAAAAAATGCAACCAATGATTTGTTACACGAGGAGTTACAGTAAATAAATGTTGTGTTATTAGAGCAAGATCATGAGTTACAAATCTAGTGAATGATTTTTGTATCACTCCAGTCACATTTGGGTCTTAGGAATCATCTAGGTAGTTTTGTACAGAAGCTAATTGTTTTCCAGTTCCTGTCTCTCATTCACAAGAGATCAAATGTATTATAAAAATACTTTTAAAAGTAATGTATCTTTACACTGATGTACCATTAGATGCAAATTAATTTGGTGTTAAACCTTTAGAACTCTGTCATTGTGATACAATATATTTAAAGGGCATTAGTAAGTTGACCTTGTTTTAAATCTACTGGAAATAATTTAGGGTCATGTACTGGCAACCTTTTGCTTTACCTGCTTTTGAAGTAGAAAAATACCAAATTTAATTCATTATTATTTCAATGATAGAAGTCAGTTTATAAAAAGTATGATATTACGAAAAATATATTCCCATGCTTCCAAACACTGTGTCTAGAAATTTGTGTTGGAATAAGTACTATAAATTTCTTATAGAACATTTAAATTGAATCATGTATGCATTATGACTCGTGATTATGATTAGGTAAGTAAGCACATTAATTTTTTCATTAATGAGAATACAGTAAAACATCTTTCTTGAATCTTTTGCTTCTACTTTCAAGTCTACATCCTTTCTTTAACTTGAAACCAAAGTATTATTCTCATTTTGCAAATATTCATGATCTTGCTCTCTTCGTATTCCATGTAGATTTTATCCTTTGCCTATTTATTCTTACTGCTAATTAATTGTGTAGATATGTAGAGAAATAGAAGACAGTTATCATTCAAATTGAATACAGACTCTCTTAGAAATGCTCGTGTATTTAACTTTCTGAGAACAAAATGTTTTTCCTTCTAGAATATTAATATTGTATCACAGAACTCAATAATGCTTATATTGGTTTTCCAATTTAATGTAGACTGTTTAAAAGCCTTCTTTTGCTTGACTTATATGAATTTACTTATCAACGGGAAATGCTTGAAATCTATTAGGTTCTACAAATATCTACAGTGGGTAAATTGAGGTGGTGTGAAAAAGCATACTTCAAGTCACATCTCTCTGTCCCTCATGTAATAATGGGCCAGCACATAGAGATTAGTTGCTTAACTGGCCAAGATTTAACTATTTAATATGGTGAATAAATCTTATTATAAGAATTTTTTTATTTTGTATTTTTTTTTATAATACTAAAGGTTATTTTATTATTTACAGTGCTACTGTTATATGTTTCTTCTCCATCCTTTTTTTTTTATTTAATTGCCTATTCATAATTAATTCACTTTATTCAATTCATTATTTCTTCTACTTTGTTTCTATTTGTCATTGTTTCTAAATACTCAAAAGATGCATTCTAAATAGAAGTGTATTTAATATGTGATTCTATTGTATATTTCCAGTGCCAAGCTACTGTGGTAGGCTTCCTTGCCTCATTGGCGGCAGTCATTATGGGTTGGGTACCTGAAGGAAAATTTGATATAGCACATGGGTTGCTGTTGTGTGCTAGTAGCATGGTCACAGCTACACTTGCAAGTTTAGTACTAGGTAAGATACTTTCTCCTATGATAAACCTTGGCTATGAAGTTACTCGTAAATCATGAGTCTGGTGTATGAAGTACACCTGTTTGTGTCTGGTGTATGAAGTACACCTGTTTGTGTCTGGTGTATGAATGCAGCTCCTATTTTCTGTTCATTTTATTATGTAAAATAATGTCATTTGACAATAAGTGATGTGGACATTATAAGAAACAAAGTAAACAAAATTTGTTATTATAAAATATTGTTATATTTCCATCCTTTTACTGAGTTAGCTTAGCAGTCAGTTAGTGAGAAATCATGCTATATCACAGGAAGCTCATATATTAATCCATTATGGAACAGCTCTGCTTATAATGCAGACGTAAACTAGTTACTATCTAAATTGATCACCAACCTGTTGGTTATTGATAAGTCATTGCATAGTTATTGGCTCTTTAAGTTGGTTTAGATCCTCAAAGTGTCACTTAAGTGTAGCACTAATGAGTTATGATATTAGAGAACTGGAACCTCCATCATCAAATCCATAATTTTAAATAAACATGAAATGAACCAATAACATTATTAGTGTTTATTTAATTAAAACAGAATAATGAATACTTACTTATTCATAAAATCTTGCGAGGTGGTTTAATTGAAATTATTTTATTAAGTTAGTTAAATTATTAACTAATTCTAATGTTAAATGTTGAAGCTTTTAAGAGTTTCACTTTTTGCATGGTATTTATTCTGTAATAAATTGTAAATCTTATAAATAGTTTTTTGGTTGCAATATTCGCTCAACTTGGAAAATGAAGTTTTGAGATAAATACATTTAAAGTTTTAAGTGGTAGTTGGATTACAGGTATCACACACTTAGTAATTGGTGCATTAAGGGGCAAACATTACTAAAAAGCTTCATAGAGTTCTGTTAATACTAACAATTATAAAATAATTTAAAATGAATGTCATGACCTAAAATTCATATTTGTCGTTTTGTGCCAGTGTTGCAACCCATAAAAAAATATTGAGTGTATTGATTATTTCTAGGCTTCGAGTTTGAACTGATTCTTCTGTGAGTTTCATTATAGGCAGCTTTAGCTATTGATAGCCTGCTCAGATAACCCAATAAATGATTTTTAGGGAGTGGATTTCTATGATTTTGCATATTTTTGTCCGTTTCTTCAGAGCATAGCTAAGTGAAATTTCTTGGCATTTGGTTGGTATTGGATGCTATGTAGAGTAACATAGCGTTAGTCTACATTGTGTTAGTGCGTATTTGTGCACATTTGGCCAATTTTTCTTGTTGGTGCATATTTGAGTAATTATAGCCGCATATTTTGCATGTTTCATTAAAATAGAGCTTTATCTCTAAAACGTTCCATCTTTTCATAGAATCTACTATTTACTTTAAGTGTTCAATGATTTGAATGAGCTTGTCACAGTTTGTGTTTTTTTCTTTTCTATAGATGATAAAATATTTAAGCAATTGTAGGATATTTCTTGATATATTTTTTAAACCAGGCAGAAGTGCACAAGACATACAATGTTCTTCACTAAGATGAATATTTACATCAATTATTGCTCCTGCGGAGTAAGTTAGATTGTATTATGTTTGCACAAAATAAATTTTTTCAATCAAAGCATGCTTCTGAATTTTATCAAGAAAGGTTTGTACAGGAAATATTGTCAATTTTTAATTCAGATTTTGTAGGTCATAAATGCATATTTTTAATAGCATATTTCAGGATATTTTAGGGCATAAAAATCCTCTCCCTAATGGTTTTACACAAATAAACATGCAGGTTTTTTCCTCATTAGATGTAATGCCTCCACATTTTGGAGAAAAGTGGGTATTTAATGACCTTCCTTAAAATAACATAGCAAATTATGTTACTATTGCATAAGAATAATCTTGTGAGCTGTTATGATGAACTTTCTGCTTTTGCAAGGAATGTATTTTGATTCTTTTTGCAAAACATGCTACATAATGCTCTGTGGAACATTGTCGCAACAATGATCTCCAGTACCCCGCATAGAGTTCTACCAGATAAATGTGTATTCTGGCCTTTGTTTTCCTGTTTGATAGGTGAGATGAACACATGCCACTCTCCTGAAGCCTTGAAAAAACTTGTGAAATCATTTCTGGACAAAATTGAAGGCGCACTGGGAAAATTTATGTTTGTTGTTTCTCTTACTTTGCAGATAGCAGCTAGGGACATTAAATGCTAGTCTTTTTCTAATGTTATGTAATGTTATTAACATTTTTGTTAATTCTTTTAATAAATTAATTATTCTTAATTAATAGCATAGTTATATAGTTAATTATTTAATAATAATAATTTAATTAATTAATTAAGCTTGTCATTAATGTTGCTTTGACAGTTTTTTATTAGCTATAAACATTTAATTTGAATGTGAGGTAAAACAACTTATTATTGGGACACTTTTGCTTCTAGTGTTGATCATAAACTTTTCTCTAATATCGCTTATAACTTCAACTTTTAATATATTGGATTATCTTATTAATTATTGTCAGTATCTATGTGGCTGTCTGGGAGATGCCAGATCCTAGGCATAGATTCCAATATTTCAGCCATCATGCTGCAATGTTCCTCAGGGCAACATGTGGATGCAGTGTGTCCTGGACAGCCATGTAGATACTGTCTCTGGCTGCAGAAGACTAGATTGTGTCTGTTTTCTTACTTAATGCCCATTTCTATATACTCTTATCATTTTTATATATTGTACACAGGTCTTGTGATGGTAGCTGTAATCGTCATATCCCGTCATTGCAACATTAACCCTGATAATGTTGCTACACCTATTGCTGCAAGCTTGGGTGATCTTATCACACTTGCTCTTCTTTCATGGATTGCATCTTTGTTATTTGATAAAATAAGTATGTATGTGTATAGATAAAATGTGAACTATTGATGATTAATATGTGTAGTTTAAGCAAAATTGTCTTTAGCTGACCCAATTAACCTCTCAAAAATTATGTATTTAGTATTGACCATTTACGTTAAAGTGTTTGTTTAGCTACATGAATGAAGTTCATTTGTTCTAGTGTTTGTTTTGAGAATTACCTATTTTATTATCAATATCTCTTGGCATTTTATGAAACTACGTGTGTATTAAATTTCAGATTCTCAAGAATGGGTTGCTCCCTTGTTGATTCTAATCTTTATTGGCCTCACACCCTTGTGGGCATGGGTTGCTTCAAAAAATAAATATACCAAAGAAGTTTTGACTTCAGGGTGGACACCCGTTATTTCAGCAATGTTGATAAGCAGGTAAGTCTGTACAGCAAAATAAACAAAAGCTAAGGCATTCAACCTTTTATACACACAAAGTCTAGACTGACCCCCAAAAGCAGTTTTCATAACCTGTTTTTGCAAATATGTGAAGAACTATTTTTAGTTTATAACAACTTAATTAGTCTCTTTCATTTTATTATTTTTCAATTACTTGAATATTTTGTTTAATTCTTTCTTGCAAGACAGAATATTACTATTATGATCATAAAAATTTGGAAAATTATTAATTTCACAGATTTTTTTGTTTTGGGTTCAAAAGTTTTATATTATTCATATAATAAAAAAAACTCAAAATTCGTTTGGGATCTACAAACTCCTGTGATTTAACATCCAAATGTAAAGCCTATGCTCCAAGGTGGGTACTTATACCCACCAGATATCTCATTTATTAGCACACACTTTTTGGTGCACCATGATCTGAGTAGAGAGCTTATTGACTGTCAAGCATAGATTTTGTACAGAAGCAGAGGATGAGGTCCTATTATATTAATCTTTTTAAAATGACTTATGGCTGTCATTGTGTTGATTATTAGCAGGGCTAGGATTTATATGGAATAACATGGCAGAATGTGCACACATACGAACAAAAAATATTCAATATATGGAGTAAAATATCGACTTAGAACTGAATGAAAAGTTGAAAATATTGAAAATAATATATGAAATAAAATTACATAAACAAGCAACCAAAGAATATAGTTTCAATATTAGCTATAGAATAAGATTAAATCATGTCTCATAATAAAATAATTTAACATTATTCTGTTGCTGAAAGTAATTATGATTCTTTATCCTTTTCTGATAATTGGCCTCATGCAAAGCAGCGGGTTACAAAACACAACTTGAAAAATTATTTTAAATGTTCAGATGTGAAAGTGCCCTTTGATCTATTAATATTGTTGTGTACTGGCTAAAATGGCACTTAACATCAGAAATAGTAATGCACTTCATCTTGAACCTTGTGCTTTACACAGATCCACTTCTAAACCTGATTCACCACTTAATTTGCACTAAAAGTTAAAATAATCTCCAAGAATAATTTTGTAACACTTTTGTTTTCGTTTTTCATAAAACAGGATATATTGAAAATAAAATGTTGAAATTTGCAAAAATATGTTTATCTGTATATATGTAAATATATGTACTACACTTAGAAATATGGACAAATGTCAATAATCAAATATGTTTCAAACCTCTGTAAAAAGCTTAATTTATAAAAATGTGACAAAAGTTTGATTATAATTAATGAACAAACAAATATGAAATTAAGTACAAATCCTAACCCTGATTTTCAGTATTTGGTTGAAAACATATTTATCCATACAGACTGTCTATGAACCTAAATTAACATATTTCTAGTGAATATAATTTTAAATTTGATTTTTAAGTGTTTGTTTGTAGTAGATAAAGAATTGCTATTATTAACATTTGAGGTACAATTTTTGAATTTTCTATTTCTTGTTAGTACACAGATATGGTCTGTGATGCCTTGTGAGTGCTTTACTCATTTGCCTTCCTATACATGTTTGTAACAAAGAAATTGATGAGAAATCTGATTCTAAAATTTTTGTGGTTGTTACAAGCTTCTTGATGAAATTTCATATTACACTATGGACCAATTTGAATAAATTGAATTGATAATAAATAAATTTCATTGATCTATTTATGGTCATTTTAGTTCTGATACTATGTGGTTTGTTTGCACGCATGTGTGTTCTTGTATGCATACAGAAAACATGAATTTGAGGAAAGTTTCAGAATGAATAATGACAGTATTAGTGAGCATTTCAAATCATTTCAAGAAATTATGTTTGTAGATCCCAGTGGAGATTCCATTAGCGACATATTAATCATCTTACTATTAATGAACCATTCAGTGACCACCAGGAACCACCATCATCGGGAAAACTGTTTATTGGAAAGGGAATGCAACATGACTTTTGACTTCATACTTATGCTCCATTAATACTGTTATTTGTGTCATATACTGCAAATTTTTACTTATACATTTTTTAAAGAATAACAAAACCTAATGCACTTTTTGTTATGTTTTCCTCTCAAATCTTTCTGTTGGTTTTCAGTATTGGTGGTTTGATTCTTGACTTCACAGTTGAGAACTTCAAGGGAATTGCAGTGTTCCAGCCAGTAATCAATGGTGTCGGTGGCAATCTTGTTGCTGTTCAGGCGAGCCGCATTTCGACATCTCTTCATCGGGATTCAAGACTAGGCAAATTACCTAATTATGCCAAAACAGTCTGCATCAATCCAATTAGTGCATTTTGTGTTAAAGGTAAAATCTGGCCTTTTGTTCCTTAAAATTAATTTGTTATTGTGCAGGGAATACAAATTGGTTGTTTTCTGTTAATTGTCACTTGTAATGTCTTTATTGTTTTGAAGAACTTATTCTCTTTGTTTTGCAAATGATTTAGGTGGACATGCACGAACAGCTCGAGTCCTATTGTTAATGGTTATCCCGGGTCACCTTATCTTCTCATATACCATCAGTTACCTTCAAGCTGGCCATACATCATTAACACCTGTGTTTGTGGCAGTTTATTTATTTGCTGCCCTTTTACAGGTAGGCATAATTGCAATTAGTTTTACACATAGACTTGTATTGATCTTTCTTTGTATGTTATGGAATATTTTGACTCTCCCACATAGTAGGAATCAAATCTTCAGGCAAATTCTCAAAATAATTGTCAGTGAAACAAAATCCAAAGATAATTTACCCTTAAGGAATATCTACAAAATAGAGAAAAAGTAATTAAATTGTATTTTGTTACAATGATCTTTAAGATACTCTACTGAGAATATTCAAAATTGCCACTTGAAACAACCAAAACATGCCATTAATCTTCATGATATGAATAGAATGCGGATGTAAAACCAGATCTGGGTCGTTGACATATTTTCTTTTGGGGGTCCAGAAGGGACTTATTTATTCAGAAGTTATTGAGTCTGTAGGATAACTCGTTACCTATATTGCAACAAATTCTAATATTATTAAACAACTACAGTTTTCGAAATACCTTCAGAGTACTTAATCCAGAGTTGCATGCATTCTCTTACTTCTTAAAATGTCAATTTTGAATGTTCACTGTAGAATATCCTAAGTAAATACCATACTGTTTCTTTATTTCAATTTCATTTCTCCTTATTTCGTGAATTTTCTTCAGGCATTCAAGAAGACTACACTATAACAAAAGTTTCCCACATTGCTGGCATTATGCATGCAACGCTTTTGATTTCTCACCACACCTATTTACTTCTGGAACATGTATGCACATATATGCATGCACATTTACACATGCATATACACACACCGTACTAAGTGCAGTAACTGATAATAAATACATAAAAAAGTAGCTGCAATAATTAGTAGTATTAAACTGCTGAAAAAATGAAAAGATGTGCATACAAATGGGAAGGCATTGTGACTAACAAAAAGTTAGTCGTAATGAATCCTGAATTATTGAGCAACTGTTACCTACTGAATTCTCTGCTTTTTGTTACTTCATTTTGTAAAGTATTTTAAGTAACAGTACAGTAACTATTGTAAGATCAGACATATCTATAGACACTAAAGGGGAGCTAATTGGATATTTTCTCACACTATTGAAGAATTACACCATTAGAATGTTCTTTGTTGCTATAAATTGTTATACTAACCTAACTAATGAAAATAGAATATGAAAATTTGAATGGATAAAAGATTAAATTACACAATTCATTTGTGCATTCTCTTGTAGAAGGCCCCTCTTTCAGCTACCGCCTCAGTTGCTTGATTTTTTTTGTATCTTGTCTTAAATAAACAATTATTTGTGTCCTAAAATAATGTTGCAGTTTGAACTCAGCAAGTGGTAAATATTCAAGAATCACTTACTTTAACATTTTAATCTGTTTTGTGGTATATACTATAATAATTGTTACTTGAACAAAACCTTTTTCTTTCAGGTAATTTTATTACTGTATATATGCCATGTAATGGTGCACTGGATGTGGACAAAACGAATAGATCCAGATAATTCTGCCATTCCTTATCTTACTGCTTTGGGTGACTTCCTTGGTACTGGACTCTTAGCCATCGCATTCCAGTTTCTCTATCTCATTGGGGATGGTGACAGTGATGTGGGAGATTAAGTGCTTGGGTAAATGAGTTTTGATGATTTGTTTATGATTGTAGTTTCAATTGCAGGATATACAGTTAACAGTGCTTCAAGTCAATTTTATTGATTTAAAAAATGGCCAGTACATTTTGTGATTCAGAGTCTGGGATTTCTGAATAAATCCTTTGTGTTTGTACAGGAATGATGAAACTGATATAATGTTTACTTTTTATTGTTAGAGCAGCTGAGAATCTTTATCTTTATTGTTAATGGTTTACACATGTACATATGTGTGTATGTATGTAAATATTTGAAGCGTAATAATTGTTTCATTTAGCTGTGTGGAACTTACCTATATCTGAAAGCCTCTTTATCAGGGATCAGTTCATCAGCCATATGTGCCATCTTTCGTATAACATGGTAGGTTACTCTATACCATTGTAAATTTGATAATTTACTGGTTTTTATTACTCTATTTTGTTCTTTCTAGTCTCATTTAGTAACTGGATCAATGTGATTGATGCAGGATACTATGTACTTGAGAATGCAATGGAATCATGCTGTGTTGTATATTAACAATTTTGTGTGATCAAAATTGTTGTCTTATTGGCCCCAAATACTTTCAGCAGTGTCTGTCAGTGTTGACTTATGTATACATTCTGCTGTAACTACATTGTTTTATAGGAATATAATAAGTGTTCTTCACTTAAAACTCTTCAAAAGTACCTACTCAAGTTAAAAACTATTACCCATTAACTCTGGCAAGAAAAAGCACCTACTTAAATCAGTTTTAGGTGGTGTAGAATAGTGAGCTATTCATTAATAATATTTGCATTTTCTCGTTGTTGCAATTTTCTGTGATTTACATAAGTTTGACTGCCATTCCAAAGGCACCTAAGTCTAAAACCACAAACTACTAAATAGCTTTTTGCTGTAGGTAGTGTAAGAGAGTATTTTAAGGGTGCAAAGAAAATGAAGTCAGAATTGTTGCCAAAAAAAATAATAAATAAAAGATTTAAGTGTATCCAAATTTGTAATGTAGGCCAATTGCACAAACCATCTGTCCGTCCGTCTGTCCATCTGTCCATATGTGATACCTAAAAGGCTCATTGTGTTTCATTATTATCAATCAACTTTCGTTTCATAAATATTTTTCTCATGGCTCTATGAGTAAATCATTAAATGTCTGTTGTAAATAGCAGGGCCTAATCAAGTTTCAGCCACTTTTCCGAAAGTAAATTTAAGCGTAATTTTATAACAAATCACTTCAATATTGTAAATACTTTTCAATCCATTGTCCTTGTTGTGCATTCCTTGCTTAGTGGATATAAAATATTTTATTTAAGCATGGCACAACTTATTTGACCATCAGCTTGCTTTTAATGTTTTTTTATTTGTGCTTTTGTGCAAAAGAGACTATTGCACTTCCACTAAACAATAATTGTGCATTATTACAATAGTTCTAGTTCTGTATATATATATGTAGATATTATTGAACTTATTGTTAAGCTAGCAAAAGAGGTGTTGGTAAAATCTCACAAGTCCTGAGATTCAGTAACATTTCTGTTTCAAAATAAGTAGCATTGAGGTAAAGAATGAAAAAGAATAACAGGCATTGGGTGATATTGATCTCAGAACATGTGAAATTGCTTGCACATGTAAATACTAGATTGTAAATAATTTGCAATATTTTTAAACAGTAAATTAATTTTTATGTGACTGGCTGTAACATGGACTCGCACTTTGTTGCAAAAACTGAAGTGTGGTGGGAATGAAAGCTGATGATCTAATTTTTGCAGATCAGTGCACAAAAAGTAAACTGCATGGCACGTGACAGTTTAAAAATTTAATTTATTTCTATGTGTTCTATTTTTTTGTGCTAGATGCCTAGTGATCAGGTTACTGCAGAGGTTTCTAGTAATTTAAGTAGGAATGCAATAAGGTAATGGGGAACCCCTCACATTTTCTTACTCCCCTGGCACAATTATCACTATATTACGTACCAGTGTGGACCAGCCAAAAATCTGTAGGCATGTTTATCATGTTGATTAAGCAATACTTCATGGGTTGGGGAAAAGTAATTGCTGGTTTGCTGGTAGAGAAAGTTGATGACATCCCATAATTCATACTGTAGTATAGGAAGATGGGAGTTGTTAGTTAATGTGTAGGATGCTGTTGTGAATTGTGAGTAAATTATATTGTATTGCAAGCTAGATAAAAATGTAAAATTTTTGCACTTCTAGTTTGTTTGTTTTCTTTGTTGATCTGCACCACTGTCAACTGAAAGAAGAGCTTTTTCCCACCAGTTGTAAAACTTATTTGGTACTATCAATTTCAACTATTTTATTGTAAATTTGATCAATATATAACCTGTCAGTTATTTTGTCTGGTAATGTCAAAAATATATTTACAAAGAATAATTTGATGAATTTGAAATTAATCTAAATGGTGATGTTTTCAGCAGACTTGTATGTACTGCAGGACATGACTATTCACTCCACTATTGGGAGGGATGCTTTTAGTATTTTGGGGTAAAATCCCAAAGATATTTTTATCACTAGTAGTCAACTGAATTGTGCCTATACATTGGACAGTTTTGGCCTGTTCCAAGGTTTTATCGATATTAAAATATCTTGTAGATATACTACCTTTAAATTTCTGACCTAAAACATTATAACAATGGCTCACAGGAGTGGTCACTGTACAAATATTTATGGTAACAATGCATTTATAATGAAATGTCTTTTTTATGACTTGGGGCAATCAGCGTTTTTGTGTTCCCAGAAAATTTAATTTACTTTACTGTGTGAAACATTTGTTATATATATTCCACTGGGAAGGTACTTGCAAGAACTAGATGGTCTGTTATTGTAGACTTTGTATAAAGTTTTCCTATATATCATGTAATGTTTTTTGTGTGAATCCAACTGAAGGAATGAAAGTGCCAAATTATATATTGCTCATTTCTCTCTAAATTTTGTCCCTTGCTCATTCCATATCACTATCCAATGTGATCATTTCCTATTCTCTTGCAATAATAATGCAATTTTAATTTTCATCTGTGATGTACTTTATTTCCCTCATATCTATATTCCTATCCTGGACACATTACATTTTGTGTACTACTTCTATTCCTGGAAATTGTTCTTAAGAAATTTTTTTTTTTTTTTTGGTCAACATGAGTATTTACATGAATCATGTTTTAAAAACAAATGGCAGAATAGTAGTCTGTCATTTCTGTTGTAGCTTCACAAATTTTATTTGTAATATTTTGACAATGAAGTTGAAAATGTTCATAGTCATTTTCAAACAATTTTGCTGTAAAAATTTATATAACATTTTTAAATCTCTCAATGCAGATTTTAATTAATAACTTTTTAAATGTGTCATTGATGTTGATGGTAGATGTAAATCTCTATACAGATTTCTGTTTCTAAAATTTCAGTCTGAAAATGAAAAGAAAAATATATAATTAGTAATAGTTAATGTGTTGAATTTTTTTAGTTTTAGTTTTCTTTGCAAAGTTTGCTTCTTGGTTACTACCATTAAGTGGAACATTGCAAGAGTAACTAATTTCATTGTGGAATACTTAGGTCGCCTGTGCCATGACCATTTACTAAGTGACCTGACGGAAGGAGGATGGGGATGGAGAAATAAAGTGCTCATTATGGTCTATTACCTAGGTCTTTCCTTGATCCGTCAGAACAGTCCACAGAACTGTAAAAGACATGATAAAAAATTAATTATATGCAATTTTAGAAAATTGTATTTTAGCTTGTCTCACATGTACTGTACTGTTTCAAATCAGCTCCACCACTTGAACACTCCTGCCAGTAATTGTAAAATATGAAACGCATGGATTTCACTTTCAAATCGTGTCAAGAGCATATCTTCACTTGGGTGTATATGTATTATGTATGTATTATGCACGTATAAAATATTGAATTTTTTTGCTTTAATGTGTTATTTTTGAGATAGGAGTTACTAAAACCTATACCAGTTCACATATATAATTTCAAATGATTGAGAAGTCAGTCTTCTGAAATATTGTATACTTCCACCTATCTGTTCTTGTAGTTGTAATACAATCTAAAAAAGATCTGCAACTAGAAAAATTCAAAATTTAATTTTGTTTGTTTTTAGTAGTGTAAATTGTCTGCAGCATATTGTTAATATTCATTAGAATTGTTTATTGCCAAAGGACCAAAAGAAAATAAAAACAAAATTGAGGTTCTAAAACAAGAGCAGTGAAATATTTTAATTGGGTTCACCTTCAATAATTATTTAGGACAACTAATTTATTTTATCAGTGCAAAATATATGATTGTGAATTGAATCCATGCGGTAAGGTGTCCCTGAAAATGTGTATTAATTTCACATCTGCAAAAATTGCTTGTGTATTATATTCAGCTCCCATTGATATTCTAATTATGCCCTTTACCATTAATAGCTTTGCTTGACATGGGTAATTTAGTGAGACCGCCCTTTTTTGTAATATCCATTATAGATTTGGATTCAACTGAACTGAACTGGTGTTAAATTAGCTCTCAGTGATATACACGGCCGTTCTTCAGCTCCAATCGTAGTTTTCACAGCTGCCTGATCGCAGTCAAATAAGCGGTAACCTTCCACTGGCGTTGTTTCAATGAGTGTCGGACCAGAGACCAAGAAGTGAGCCCTCTACCTGGGCTGCTCGTGGAGTCGCGGAGAGGCTGCGGCCCCGCCGCCTCCGCGCCGCCAGGCCTTGGGCCGACTGCTGTGAATGGACTGCGGCCAATGACAATCAACAGGCTACGTCATAGGCTCATCTATCATCATGATCGGCGTGATAGAGCATGGGCCCTCCCGCACGCACGCTGAGAAGGTGTTCGTGTTCCTTACTATTTCGTAGCCGCCCCTACAGTTATTGACCCTGTCTTCTTCGCCTCCGCTTTTCGTGGCGGGCTTCGCCCTGCGTGTCCTCCCCCTTCTCCAACCTCCCATATTGTCTGGCCTTGTCGGTTGGTTACGCTTTATGGTGGTAACCGTAATCCCTAGTAGTTTCGGCACCGTGGCCGCGCTAGTCAGGGAGCGAGCCGCGTTGAGGCTTGGAGTTCGGCTCCATCGTGCTCAGATTAGCTGATACTGACGGTCGGTCCTATATAGTATAATAGGGTGGATGAGTACGCGAAGGAATGGATGTTAACGTGCGCTGTGTGATGTGACCGCGAATGTCGATATGTTCCGTCAAATTAAAATGGAGGCAAACAAGTGGATTAAAATATGCAGATGACAAGCGAAAGGTAAGGTGCATTGCGGAATATGTCATTACTCTAACTTGTATATTTTATAGGCACTTGTAAATTGCTTCCGTTTTATTTTGCCTTATATAGATGTTTATATAAGTTTATCCAGTGCCCGAATGCAATTTTCACTTTAAAAAAAATGAAAAATATGTATAAAAAATAAAAATGAATGCTACAAGTTAGAAGGAAGTGTCAGTTACCAGGCATTTGATTTTCTAGCATACGCTTGCTCACTGATTGTAGACGTTCCTTTTGTAGAAAGATAAGTTCATTCTGGTATTTTTATTACAATGAGAATGACTTATTTCTGTATATTTTAAATCAAATTTACTTGTCCTCCAGAAACACAATAAATCAATCTTTTCAATTTGTACCGAAATAATTGTTTGCTTGGGAAAGTGTGCGCTTTGAAATTTGCGGGTTTTAGAAGATGATCGATCTTTCTCGTTTGCAGTTGATGTTTCGGAGAAAGAGAAAACGATATGGCATGCTGAGAATACTCGATTAGGGCGTTGAAAGTGTATTATCATGAAGAACGGCAGAAAACAAAAATTTGTGTTAAATGTATTGTCAAACGAAGGGTGTGTGAACGTTGATAACTATAGACATTTCTTTTCGGAGGGTATAGTACAAATTATGTTTTAATATAAAAAAAATCGTTCATGTAACTGAATGAACTATAATGAAATTAGCATAGTGCGGTACATTATGAAGATCTAAGAAATATGTTGTCTGTTATATCATTATTGTTAAAAATAGTCTGACCTTGGTTATAATATTTTTAACAATTATTTAGATTTAGCATTAGCAATATAAATCTGTATGCTAGTGCACAGATAATTTTTATGACATATTAATCTTGAGAGCAGTTTTTAGTGCAAAAGCAATTTGTAGTAATTAATATGTATTACAAAAGATCAATCAGGAACGGACGCTGGTTTATCTGCTAAAAGTACGAGCATGAGCAAATATGTGTTCTTGATTAGTTCACACAAGCAAGGACAAGACACACATGTTTGGACTGTATAATTAACATGTTGAATTGCATTTTATAATATAGTCTAATGACTTACTTGCCTGACATAAAATTCAGTGCCAAAAATCTGAATACCCGCGTTTTCATATTTCCCGCGAAAACTGGCTAAGTTCAGTCTCCGTGATCCACAAATACAATACCTTTCGCAATTTTGGCATTTCTAATATCTAATAAAACTTGGATGCGAGTGAGTGATGGTTATTGTTTAGTCTATTCATCTCAAAAATAGTTGCATATTTTCGTATTTCAAGTATAATAGTATCGAAGCATCAATCCATTAGTTTGCTCTAATTAAAGCATATATTGCATACAAACATAAAAGTGGCAAAAATATTATTACGATAGGCGATGGAAGTTACTAAAGTTATTATTTATTTTAAATAGTTCAGTTACAAGCACTTCTTAAAGAAGATGTGAAATTAACTTCATTGGAGCAAACAGTAACCGGAGCGACTATCGAGATCAAATGAATCCTCCGACGAAACTACCATATAGACACTTTTCATTGGGTCACTACTCAAATGTAAAATGTGACAGAGGGAAGAGTTAGAGAAAAACTGACATCCAGACAGCAATGCTGTGCCTATTGCTAATACATTTTTACTTTATCATATCATATTACTCGTTTATACAGAGCCCGAGCAATATATAAAGCGCCTCCTCAATAATATTTGAATATTAGAAACATCTGAAGAAAATTAATATTGGAATAAAATATAACATTTGTAATTTTAAATGTATTATTGATATATTTTTCCAAATTGATAAATAATACACATTTTATTTAAAAATCATGGTGCCCCTATCCACTGGGGCGCTAAGCACGAGCTTGGTATACTTGTGTATTAATCCTCCCTGAGAATGTATGTAGTGTAGAAAAAGATATATAATGTTGCAAAAATCGATGACGAGATTGTACTTTATTGATTATTAATCGACGACATTTATAAGCGCACTTTAATCTATTTGAGTAAAAAATTTCAAGAAAAAATCCGAAGGTGTTTAAAGAACATTTTTAAGTTGCCAATGAGCTTTAGTATTTTTGCATCCTTTAAAATTGATATTCCTTTCAAATTCACAGGGCTTTACATTGAGCCTGATCAATGGAAGAATATGTTGTTTTCGAAAATCCATGTGTATGGTTAGGTTTTAGTGGTGTTTGCGTGTATAAAATGTCACCACTCCATTATTTATTATATTTGTGGACCCCTTTGTAAAAATATTATTATATTATCCTGCTACACCGACGGAAGATTATACCATGTAAAGAAAAGGAAGAATCATCTAAATAAAGGGAAATTGGCAAGGGGTATAGCTGATCAAACATAAAAAATAAGTAGTGGCTCTTGCACATGACTTCTTTGTAGCGTTTAGTATTATTATTTTTATTTCTGGTAGTTAAACTAAACAAGTATGTTGCAAAAGTTTCATCTGCCTGGTTCGCAGTCCTCGGTGCTTAAAGAGTAGAATAATTAATATAAGTAAAGAACTAACATATATGTGTGTGTGTGTATTTATTACTGTATTTTTTTCTCGCACATCGTAAAAATAGAAAGCTATGTAACCATGCACCAGAAAACGGCGAATTTTCGGCAAAAAACTCGTATTGCCGGGTACTGGTCACGAAAAAGGTGATACTCCTGTTGCTATATATGAATGGGTGAAAACCAGAACGGTTTAAGGGAATATAATATAAATTCAGAGAAATCTGTTTATTTAAGTCAATATCAGTGGTGCTTTGTTTATCTTTAAACCAAGGTATTTCAATTGTTCATTGAAATCACAAAGAAACATTTCCGCTGAAATATAACTTATAATAAACACATTTTTCTCAGAATTTATAAAATGTCACTTATATCGTGCTGATTTTCGCCCATTCATATATTACATTACTTCCTCAAATACGTGGTGTAGCCAGAATCCATCTTTTGTGGGTCCCTGATACCGAAAAATTGATTGATAGGAAAATATTTTGATTTTTGAGAATACTTTCGTGAAGCCTCAAAAATATTTTCAAACTTTTCTAAAAAATTGCACCAAATGTTTTGATTTAACTTTGTCCTCAGATAGTGTAAAGGATGCTTAAGAGAATGGAAAAGTCGTGTTTTTTTGGGGGGGGGACGTGTTCCTACAACTATAATATTGAAGATAGAGATTTTTTACTTTCTCGCAACTGAGTAGAGAGAAAGTTATGAAATGCTCCGCAAAAAACTGCGAATATTCAGCTGAAAAACGCATATTACCGAACCGTGGTAACGAAAAAGTGAATAAATCCATTTGCTAAATTTAGAAAATAATCCTTTATCACTTGGTGTAGACAGAATCCATGTTTTATGGGTCTTTGATATCTAAAAATCGAATGATGGTAAAATATATGTCCGTCCGTCCGTGTATGAACAACGTTAGCGGCTAAATTATCTGGCCTATTTTCTCCAAAATTGGTATACTTCTATCGATCTGGCTGATGTCGCGGCTCCTTGAATTTGAAAATGATATTTTAATTTCGGAGGGTACTTTACATGCAGCCTCTGGAACATTTTCCAAATTTTCAAAAAAATTGCTCCATCGGTTTTGATTAAATTTTGTTGTTAGATAGTGTAAAGGGCGTCTAAGAGAATGTTGAGGTCTCATGTTCGTTAAAAGCACTGATTTTTCTAAAATTGCAGAAGCTTAAAATTTTTTCGGAGACTTCTTACAACTAAAATATTAAAGATAGAGACTTTTCCCTCAATGAAATCTGTCCCATAAATATAGATTTTGAAATAAGGTCCTGTACAATTTTTCGAAAACTTGAGTCCTTTTCGAGTAATTTTGCATTAAATATATGCAATTTTTACATTTTTCTCTAGCATGGCCATTTTTTCCTTTAAATGGTTCCCTCGTATACACGCGTCTTTTTATACATAAAAGACGGTAAAAATATTGTGCTAGCATCCATTTTTGGCACACACTTTGTATTTTCAAAAATTGTAAAAAGTTAACATTTCAAAATTACGTTATGGAAGATAGAGACTTTTGCCTCAGGCAAAGTCTGCTCCAAAAAATCACCTCTTTAATATAGGTCATGTACAGTTTTTGTTTTAAAAAATCAGTAGGTTTTCGTAATTTGAGCTTGAATTTAATAAAATTAATAAAGTATTTTCTCCACTCCTCCACATTTTGTCTTAATTTCTTTAATGGA